CTCTAAAATATATTTAGTGAACAAAATGAAAGATAAATGGTATTATGGTTTTTAACTGTATATGAAGAGAGAAAGGAAGTGAGCATAGGAAGAAAATACAACTTCAGTCATTGACTTTTAGGCTTCTTTGTTGCTTGAGTTTTTACCGTATATGCATGTACTTGTATGCTATTTTAAGAGTAAAATAATAGGCCGGGCGTTGGTGGCACACGCCTTTAATCCCAGCACTTGGGAGGCAGAGGCAGGCAGATCTCTGTGAGTTCGAGGCCAGCCTGGTCTCCAGAGCCATTGCCTGGATGGGTTCCAAAGCTACACAGAGAAACCCTGTCTCGAAAAAGCAAAAAACAAAAAACAAAAAAAGTTAATAACATGAGTAATTTGACTCACCAGAGAAAATGTTTATCCTACTTCTGCTAACACTCACTTAGGACAAGGTGCCTGACACTGAGCTAAATATAGTAAAATGACCAAATTTAGTTCTTTCAACAAATGTAGTACTACTATGATCCCTACTTTGTAAATGTTCTGAGTGCAGTCTGATAGCAAGACTTATCTGACACAAGCATTTTTGGTTTTTCAAGACAGGGTTTCTCTGTGGCTTTGGAGGCTGTCCTGGAACTAGCTGTTGTAGACCACGCTGGCCTGGAACTCACAGAGATCCGCCTGCCTCTGCCTCCTGAGTGCTGGGATTAAAGGCGTGAGCTACCAACGCCCAGCTCCACACAAGCATTTTTGTTTTGTTTTGTTTTTCCTAATTGCTAGTAGTTCACCAAACAAACAGGCAAATCCAGATTTCTGTCTGTTATACTTTGGCTCAGATTTGAGAATACTTTATTCTATGAACTGTAACATTCTTACAATATAGATAAAGTTTGCTCCTTCTACAGTAGCAATGGCTTAGTAATAGAAAACAAAGATTTTGAACATTTTCCTACCTTCATTCCCTAATATGAAACCACCAAGTTTGTGTCTCTTTGGATTTTGTTGTGTTCCAATGTTTGATTCTAAAAATTACTCTTAGAGTTTTGTTTAAAAAAATAGATAAGTGACTTTTGGCTTGGGGCTAGGACAAAAGTACTAACATGTCACTGAACATATTTCTACCACTTTTTACTGTGTATCTATGCAAAGTGGGATTCTCAGCACTGATAATTATAAAATATCTATAATTCCAAAAACTTGAAGAGGATCTTTATCCTGCAGTGCCAAATATTCAGCCAAGATTGAGTTCCACATAAAAAAGAAACACGCACACCCATCTCATCACTATGGAAATGTTCTTTCATCTTTAATAAAGGGTAAAATTATATGTCTACTAAAAATATAGTAAAATAAATTTTCTCTATCATTTACAGTAAGTAATGTTTGATCTGATATTGATTTTTGTTTGCCTAGTTGTATAAAGCTGCATAAAAAATTTCATGGATCACAAATGAAAAGAGTTAAGTGTTACTTTATTGACTTATCCTGCAGGTTAAAAAAGAAAACGCACACAGTCATAGAACCTCCTAGAAAAGTACTTAGCACACAGGATTCAAGAAATGGTGGTTATTATTTACTGTGTGCCTGATTGTCTGTGGAAGCATCTGTGCTTCCCAAACTCTGACTTAGTTTTCTTTAACGAGAACTGAAAGGTTCTTTTTCATGGTGTGATCTCAGAGCTTTGGAACACAAAGGAAATATGATGAGAAAAAAAAATTAAATGTCAACTCTGGTTTTATCCGAGGAATGAATGACATTTCAGAAGATTGTTTTTCTTCGTCAATCTTTACCATATGCTATAAATTAAACTTTTCCCCCTCAAAATTTACATATTGAATCCCCAATCCCCAAATATGGCCTATTGGGAGATGGGAACTTTAAGGAGACTGATGAATATGACTGGCGGGCTGGCAGGGGGGGGAGCT